TGTGTGTACAGTTATTATTTCTTCCATTACCTTTGGCTTTGTTTACATCCATTACCAGAAGTCGGTACTCAAAACACTTTTTTTAATACTCCACTTTAAGGTAAATGTAAATATTTTATGTTTTATAAAGTTTTCTTTTTAACTTTAAAAACCATAACAAGCCTGCTGACAGTTGACAGCTGTTACTTGTCAATTTTGTTTTAAGTACGTCACTCACTTACTATTTTCATCAAAGGCATCAAACCCATACAGCCTAAATAAGTTTTTTTTTCTTTTCGTCTTTTTATTATTGGGCTGTGTTATGTAGTGGGTTTCATTCAATTTTAGTGCTGTCGCTGTGTGTAATCAATTATATTACTTGTTGTGTGACTGCTTACTATTTGTAAACCTTTCAACCGGTAGGTAGTGCAGGTCAATTGAATTGAATTGAATTTAAGCGCGTTTAATAGTTTTAGAGATTTAATTTTAAAATTCTATAAATTTTATTTGTATATTTTTTATATATATTATTTTATAATTTTATTTATGTCTGATTCCAGTATATATTGTTCAGCCAGCGATGGCGACTCCTCTTTCGATTCTGTTATAACTGATTCTTCCGACGTGGGTGATTTGGGTACGCAGCTTAAACAAGCATTGAAAACTTTTCCTGACAGTTTAAAGGTCTGCCACATAAATGCTCAGAGTATTCCATGCCATTACACAGATCTGATCAGTACTTTCTCTACTAACCTAGTACAAGCTATTCTCGTCTCAGAGAGCTGGCTAAAACCTTGCTTGATCTCAGCCTCTGTTGGTATTCCTGGCTACTCTTTGATCCGCAATGACCGGGTTGGCAAGGGCGGCGGTGGTGTGGCCATCTATTTGTCTCACAGTATTCCCTATAAATTGATAGCTTCGTCATCATCCCGCTTTGACTGTATGGAATACCTGATGCTCGAGATTAACGTCAAAAGCACTATAGTCCTTCTGGGTGTTATATATTGTCCCCCTTCGATCCCTTTTCTTTCCGATTTGGAATCTCTATTCGATTCTCTTGCCACTGATTACAAGCATCATATCATCATGGGTGACTTTAATACGGATCTCTTGAAGGATACCGTCTCTTCCCGTAAATTTCGATCGATAATCGAGTCTGCTAACTTCTCCCTATTACCTCTTGGTCCGACACATCACAATCTAGCCACTGATGACTCGCAGATTGATCACATTATTACATCTTCACTCGATCGTGTTATCAAGTGTGGTCAATTTCTTGCGCCAGGCTTTTCCAAGCACGACTTGATTTTCATTACCTATAGAGTCAAGCCTCCGAAAACTAAGCCAGTGTTAGTTCGCATGCGGAATTTCTCCAGGTTGGACGTAGAGAGACTTAGACAAGATGCGAATGATATCGATTGGTCTCCAGTTCTTAATGCGTCTTCGGTTAGTGCAATGGTTATATTATTTAACGCCACAATACTTGAATTATTTGAAGTTCACGCACCGGTCAAAGCTGTCAAGTTGAGACGATCTCCGGCTCCGTGGATCACACCTTTTGTGCGCATTGTTATGCGGAAACGCGACAAGGCGTTTCGGGCATACAAAAGGTGCCGTACCGATACCAACTGGGAGATTTTTAAGCGGGCTAGAAATATGTGTAACCAGGTGATAAGGAGAGCCAAACGCCATCACATTCATCAAAACATGTTTAACTCTTCACCTGCAGAAAAGTGGAAATTTCTAAATTCCCTTGGGATAGGCAAATCTCGTGCTCTAACTCCTTGTCCCTTTGCATTAGACGACCTTAACCGTCACTTTTCCCCTGTCATAACTCTTCCTGTTACCGCCAAATTTCTCACTATTTCCAAACTTTTTTCCACTCCTACCTCTCCCAGTAATCTCTTTTCCTTTACCCCTCTCACAGTCGATGAGGTACGTAAAATAATTATCTCTATTAAGTCGAAATCTACGGGATTCGACAACATCAGTAGAAATATGATAATTCCTATACTTGACGCTATTACCCCTGCTCTAACATATATCCTTAATTATTCTCTGACTTCTGGCTCCTTTCCTGACCTTTGGCAAAAGGCATACGCTACTCCTCTTCCCAAAATTCCCAACCCTAGCTGTATGAGTCATTATAGACCTATCTCGATTCTTGGAATGCATTGCTTGCCAGAAAATATCAGGCGTGCTCAAAGCATACACATTTTTAAGGAACTAGTCAAAGAGCATTATCTGTCACTCACTCTGAATCCCGTCTGATTCTTATCTGTCATCTAACTAAGGTCTTATATGTATGTTATATATAAATATATATGTATTATAGAATTTAAAGTATTTATGTACTTCATTTATTCATGAAATATAGGTAGAGATATGATATCATGATAAAGTTTGAGACACCATAAGCTACCCTAAATCTAATCTAAAGTAGATATAATTTTCGTTCAGTTCACAAGGTTGCCTGGAAGAAATTACTTTTTAGTAATAAGGCCGCCAATTGTGCATTCACATTTATTGTATCCTTATATTTGTTTCTGTCCATTGGTGTACAATTTTTGATTCATTCATTCATTCATTATGGGTTTGATAGTAATACTATCAAATGGTTCAACTCATATCTTTCGAATAGATCTCAGCTGGTTGATTTGCAGAGGTGGGACGGATCCAATCTTCTTCTTCTTCTTCTTAGGCGCTACACTCTTGGCAGAGTGGTCGTGGTCGTCAAGTCGACATTAGTGGCCTGCTTCACAACCGCCGCCACTCCTCCCGAACTCTCGCTCTTCTCGTGCATTCATGCAGCGGTTTGTTTAATGTTTTCTTTATTTGATCGGTCCACCTCATGGGTGATCTGCCGCGTGGTCTGGTACCCTCAATCTTTCCTTGCACTACCAGGCCCTCCATGGATTCGCCCCCGCGTCGTGTTATGTGGCCAAAGAAAGTGAGAACACGAGCTCGCACTATGCTCGACAATCTTTGTTTGATACCTAGCTCAAGAAGAATGGATTCATTGGTTCGGAATTCCGTCCATGATATACCGAGCATTCTTCTCCAGCACCACATCTCAAGAGCGTCGATCCGCTTTTTCTCACCTTCCCGGACAGTCCATGTTTCAGCAGCATAGAGGAAAATGGGGAATACGAGAGCCTTGACAAGTCGTGTTTTTGTGGCTTTGGTAATATTTCGATCTCTCCATATTTTCTTCAGCTTGTCCATAGCTGACCTAGAAATTGCCATTCGCCGCTTGATCTCGTCTATGCAGCCGCCATTATTTGATATTAGTGCCCTTAGGTATATATATGACTGAACTACCTCACAATTAGCTATTTGTGTAATCTCTGTCAAAACGTTTGCACGGTCAATAATCATCATTTTGGTCTTACTGCGATTTATTTTGAGACCAAAGTCAAGACTGGCCTGTTCCATTCTGCGCAGAAGTTCTTCCATGTGTTGAGCACTACTTGCGAAAAGCGTGGTATCGTCCGCGTAGCGCAGATTTGTAATTTTTTGTCCTCTAACGGTGACACCGTCATTCCAACCTTCAAAAGCGATTCTCGTTATAAGTTCTGTGTAGGTGTTAAACAGTAATGGGGAGATGATGCATCCTTGTCGGACCCCTGCATTAGGATGGAAGTCGTCAGAGAGAACCTCATCCGTCCTCACCGAGGCCGTCCCATTTTCGTATAGGTACCTGAGTAGCAACACCAGGTGTTTTGGAGCGCCCATATCCAAAAGTGTACCCCAAAGTTTCGGCCATTTTACCGAATCAAAAGCCTTTGAGAAATCTACGAAACAAATGTATGTAAGTCTATTGAACTCTCGGGACTTCTTTATAATCTGGCGAACATTCAGAATCTGCTCACGTGTACTCTTGCCTTTAACGAAGCCACTCTTCTGGGGTGAGATCTCTTTAGATAGGTAGGACTTCAAGCGCTCGTTAATTATATGCAGAAAGATTTTACTGGCATGGGGAATCAAAGCGATTAAACGATAATTGCTGCAAGTTCTGGTAGAACCCTTCTTGTGTAATGGTACAAATACTGTATGTGCCCAGTCCCGCGGCAAAACGCCGGTCTTCCAGATATTATTACACAATGCATGGAACATCCGCACTCCATTCTCTCCTAATGCCTTAATGGTTTCTATAGGGACGCAATCGCTTTACCATTCTTGAGGTGGTTTATGGCTGATCTGACTTCATCCTTTAATATGTCAGGCTCCATTTCATCATTATTAGGTATGGTTGGTGGAAAACATTGCGACTATGGATCATGAAATAGAGACTGACAATATTCCCTCCAAGTTTCCGAGATAGAGTCCAATTCGGTTACCGTTTCTCCTTGAGCATTTTTCACAGCCAAAGTTCGAGTGGACAAGGATTTTGTTATGGAACGGATTTTACAATGAAGGATTCATGTTTACCAGCATGAGCCTCAACCTCCGCGCAGATTTTTTGAAGGTGAGTATTCTTATCCCGTCTGCACGCCTCTTGTATCCGTGCCGATTTCTCATTTAAGGCTTCCGGCACTAATGTAAGAGTTTACATTAGTGCCGGAAGCCTTCAGCAATCTCCTTTCCTCGATAAGCTTAAGAGTATTTTTCCCCTTCCCCCTCGGACACGATTGAGAGTGGACGTGTATTGTGCTGTTGCGAAGTAAATAATTTTTAAAGTTAATAAATGATTTCTAAATCGCTAAAAGTTAATTGTTGCTGAGATTTGAACTTGTTCCCTTGAGTTGTGGTTGCGTCTGTGTTTCCGGGTGCGTGTCGTCTCGGCTACCGATGCTAGTGTTCGTAGCAGTGAAAATAGTGTACCAATTCAAAGAAGTGCTACGGTGTTGACTTGAACAACGAGTGCTACATTTGCTGCGTATTGGTGCTACGGATACAACATATGCTACGGGTTTACTAGTTAACTGAATATACGTACGTACGCACGTAGAATAGGATAAAACTCTATTGGTTATTTTACTCGGACGGGCTTAACTAGTAGTAGGTAGGCAAAAAGTACAATGCCTTTAAAAAGGACTCCGCCTTCCATTCATTTATCTGAGTCAGAGCCTAACCAAAGTTCAGCTCCTGATACGGAAAATGAGAGCTCCAATAACATGAACAGTAGACCTCGTGCTCGCAAACGACAACATGGCGACGAACTGACGACATTTATGGTGGAAATCAGAGGTAGCATGGAAACTTTAAAAACTCAACAAGATATATTACAAGACAGTGTAAATGATATTCAAAAGCAAAACAATGATATAAGGGAATCGATGGAGTTTATTTCAAGGCATTATGAAGAGATTAAGGACAGGTTAACAAGGATGGAAAGTGAAAGAAAGGTTCACTTGGCTTATATTCAATCGCTGGAAACTAAGGTGGAGACCCTGGCAAGAGTGCAAAAACAAGCTACTGTGGAAATACGTAACATCCCTGTCAAGAAAGGCGAATCTAAAACAGATCTTTTAAATATTGTTAAAAAGATTGGCGATGCTGTGAGCGTGAAGGTGGAAGAAAATCATATTAGGGATGTTTTTCGTATGAACACAAAGAAGGGAGATAGGCCTGTACTAGTAGATTTTTCTACTGTAATTCTAAGAGACAAAATTCTTGCATCGGTGAAGGATTATAATCGTAAAAATAAGGAAAATAAACTTCATACTGGACAACTTGAAATGGTCAGTCAAGTACAACCAATCTTCATTGGTGAATCCCTAACTCAGGCAGCGAGAAGAATCTGTTTCTTGGCAAGGGAGCTTGGCAAAAAGAATGGTTACGCATACTGCTGGACTGCTCATGGTCGAGTCTTTCTACGTAAAAAGGAGGGTTCTCCAGCAAGATTAATTAGCAGGGAAACTGATCTGGACCATCAGCAGTCTAACCCTGACATATGACTTGGACTGCAAGCTCATTTTATATCCAGTACATTCTGCATGCTTTTATATTACTCATTTTTAATGTTTTTAACTAATTTAATTAATACCATATCATCATTAAAATTGCATTTTTCTACCACAGTTAACAACTTTTCATATTGTTTGTGACTCAAATTTCAAATCTTCAAATGAATTAAGTACTGATATTGCTGAACTACTTGCGAGAATTTCGACTGTTTCAATGACATCTTCAATCAATCCTGGCTTTGATCAATATGCATGTTTAAAATACACTAGAAAACTTCACAAATTCAAATGGCATTATTGAGTAACATTAGCGACGAAATTGATTCTATTACTGTATCTAGAGCAGCTGTCTGTAGTCCAGAAAATATAAAAAATCACTTAGACTTGAGTCAAAAATCCGTTAAAGTAATGCATGCTAACATTCGTAGTTTATGCTGTAATTATGATGCGCTTATCATTCTTTTAGACAGAATTAGTGTTCAATGTGACATCATAGTATTAACGGAGTGTTGGTTAAGTAAGGTGACTACCTTGCCAATGATAGATGGCTACACGTCGCACTCCTCGAACTTTCACAACTAAAATGACGGAGTTGTTGTTTATGTAAAATCGGACATCGTAATTAACATTATTCTTCCACATATATTGGACGCAAACTGTCTTATTTTAAGACTCAAAAATGAGTATGCTATAGTAGCCATATATCGCTCTCCGTCGTACCGTAACATAGACAATTTCTGTGATGGAGTTGAAAAATGTCTGTCTTCTTTAAGGACTGTGAAATCAGTAATCTTGATAGGAGATATCAATATAAACATTGCTCCAACTACTAATGATTCCAATAGTTCAAAGTACTTGGAAGTTATGGCGTATCACGGCCTATTACCTAGTCATACTTTTCCCACTCGCTTGGACAATTGCTTGGATCACGTAATGCTTAGATCTAATCGATTCTCTACAACTTTAGTTTTAGACACTTTTATTACTGATCATGCGCCAATATTCTTTTCTTTAGATAGTAAAATCAAAAGAAACCAGACTATTTATAATAATTACCTAAAAATAAATCATTTGTCAGTAACTAAACAACTGTCCATAACTGATTTTAAAAATGTATACGTCACTAAAGATGCAAATGTTGCTGCAAAAGAATTAATTAATATTATCTCAGATGTCATAAAAAGTAATTCAATAGAGGTTAAGATTCTCCACCGTTATCGTACAATCAAGCCTTGGATTACTCCGGGTCTTGTGCGGTGTATTAGAAATCGAGATAGAATGCACAATCTATCAAAAAATTATCCAAAAAATGCCATACTACAGATAACCTATTCAAGATACCGCAATTTTTGTAATAACCTTTAAAAAAAAATCAAAACCGAATATGAAAAAACAGAACTTAATAATAATAAGAGTAACCCAAAAAATTTGTGGAAAACAATAAATAAAATAACAAATTTCAAATTATCTACACCTCCTCCTAATGAACTTCTTAATTTAGCACAAGAACCAAAAGAATCAGTTATATTGGTTAATAAATATTTCGCAGAAATTGGTTCGAAACTTGCTGAAACGATATTGCAAAAACACTGTGGACAACCCTTACCTCCCAAGAAAAGTTGTGAACTGCCTTCCCAAAGGGATTCTATGGTACTATCTAACACTGACTTCATGGAGCTAGAATCTATCATTGACAATCTAAAAAATGATTCTGCAGCTGGAATCGACAACATACCGACGAAAGTCATTAAGCTTGCTAAGAAAAGTCGTATTCGTCCTCTAGAATATGTATGCAATTTAAGTTAAGAAACGGGTATTTTCCCAGATATTTTAAAATGGTCCTTCCCATTTACAAAAGTGGGGATAGAAGCTGTGTTGGTAACTATAGACCTATATCCATCTTGAGCGTTGTGTCAAAAATTCTAGAAAAACTTCTAAATAATAGGCTTACTAATTTCTTGGACCATAATAGTATTATTGCGAAGAATCAGTATGGTTTCATGAAAGGAAAGTCTACTGAAGATGCAACTCTGTTACTTACTGAAACTGTCGCCAAACATCTTGACAACAAAGAAAAAGTTATAGGTATCTTCTTAGATCTTGCCAAGGCTTTCGACACAGTTTCTGTCCCTCAATTGCTTTACAAATTGGAAGTTATCGGTGTGCGTGGCATTGCTCTTGATATTTTTCGGAGTTATCTTTTACCCAATGTGTTAAAATAGGAGATTATTTGAGTACTCCAACAAGCCTGTCTTTTGGGGTTCCGCAGGGCAGCGTTCTCGGTCCCACTCTTTTTCTCGTGTATATCAACTGTCTGTGTTTGAAATCGCTTTTAAATTGCAAAATTATCGCATATGCAGATGACACAGTTCTTCTTGTGCACGGGAGGGATTGGGAAGAAGCTAGGAGCTGTGCTGAGAGTGCTTTGAGAAGGGTTGGTAAATGGTTGGACAGCAATCTCTTAACGCTAAACGTTGACAAAACTAAATATCTAACATTTTGTCATCGTGATAGCTGCCTTCCTTATGATGGATTCAACATCAAGGTCCACAGTTGTGCTGATGAGTTTAAGTGCTCCTGTTCTCCCCTAACAGCCACAAACAATCTTAAGTACTTGGGTTTGACAGTTGACACACCCCTGAGTTGGTCAACACATATTAAACATATGACGGGTCGCGTAAGAAAACTTATCCCCATATTCAAAAAACTTGGAAGGACTGCAGATCCCGATACACTTTTGACTGTCTACTATAGTCTTGTTTAGATCATACTTCAATACTGTATTGTTGTTTGGGGAGGTATTGGTATATCTGCTCTTCTCCCTCTTGAGAGGGCTCAAAGAGCTATTTTGAAGGTCATATTGGGCAAACCCAGAAAATATAGCACTTCTCTACTATATAATGAATGCAGAATTCTCACAGTAAGACAACTATACATATTTAATACTGTAATTAGGAAACATAAAACCATTGAGTTCAAACCTATAAACAAGCGCAACAAAAGTAAGATTTGCTCATTGATACCTCATAACACAAAACTTGCCAGGCGTCAATTCTATGTCGGTAGCTGTCATCTGTACAATAAGATCAATAAAATTAATGATATATATTCTCTCACACTGCATAAATGTAAGAAACAGCTTCGAAGTTGGCTTCTAAAATTGAGCTACATGGATACAGAGGAAATTCTCAATAGCTAAAAATGATTTTTTGCATTTGTTTTATGTTATTGCTACTTTTCTTTTTTCTTTCTGTAATCAGCGAAAGTTGAAATTAATTTATTTATCTGTGCAGTATCATTATAAATAATAGTTGTTTTAAAATAGTACTGTGGTTTTGTATAATTACTATTGCAAATTCTCTAAGAATAAAAATGCCTGTAATATTTACATATGTGCCTTGGGTGGGGGCGCTGGCAGCTGTGACACAGTTCATACAAAAACAGCTGTCAACGTTATCCTCTTATACAATAAAAATCTAATCTATTCTTTTTGTGACAACCAAATAGGATAAGAGAATTTTGTAATATGGAATTGACAATAAAATTATTATTATTATTTTTGCATTAAAAAAATTTACTCTCCCCGACCCCTCGACGATTCGAGGGGTGGGAGGATTCCCCCCGGCAGAGGAGGCCAGACGGCCGGGGGTCAGGGCGACAAAGAGAGAAAACGGCGGACGATCCTTGCGTTATCGAGCAAGATCGCCCGCTGGAGCCTCGCAATCATTGGTCCGTCACGGAGTCCCAACCTCTTCAGATGGTCGTGAAGAGAAGTTGGGACTAGGCCATTCGTTGACACTACGACTGGGATGATCTCAGTGGATGACACTCGCCACATATCGGTAACCTCGTGCGCCAGGTTCAGATATTTAAGTTTTTTATCTGATTCGGCTTTCACGAGGTTTTCATCGAATGGGACGGTGACATCCACTAAGAACACCCGAGATTCCGCCCGGTCCATCAGTACGATATCAGGCTTGTTCGCAGGAACAGTCCTGTCCGTAATGACGGACCGGTCCCAGTACAATCGAGCGCGGTCGTTTTCAAGAACTGGCTCCGGCACATACTTATAGTACGGCACCTTTTCGCCTATGAGGCCGTATTTGAAGGCTAGCTCGAGATGGAGTATTTTGGCTGCTTGGTCATGTCTGTGCAAATACTCGGTATTAGCCAGTACAGGACAACCGGAAGTAATATGCCTGAGTGACTCACCGGGCTGGTGACAGGCTCTACAAACGTCCTCTGTCCCATCCTTCAGGATATACTTCCGGTAGTTTCGGGTCATAATGACCTGGTCCTGTATTGCACAGACAAAACCTTCGGTTTCCCCAAAGAGGTCCCCGAAGCGCAGCCAATGCACGGAGGCTCTCGGATCCACGTGACGCTCGTGTAGCGCCTTGTAGAACCTACCGTGCAACTCCTTCTCCCTCCAAACGGCCTCTCGGTCAGTGGTGCTAAGTACTGCTGGTTCTCGCCATTGCTCGGTGGCCAAAGAGAGAGGGGTTAGTCCTACATCACATGCTTTGACATCTCTATGCAACTCACTGGATTCCGATTTCGCCAGGAAGTAATTACGGAGACTGTGTATCTCGCGGTTGTGCAGGGTTTTCGCACTGAGCAGCCCACGACCGCCACTCTTCCTCGGGCTATACAGCCTCATCACTGACGATCTCGGGTGGTGCATCCTATGGAGTGTCAAAGTTGTGCGGACTTTCCGATCCAGGGCGTCCAATTCGGTCTGAGTCCATCTGAGTATGCCAAAGGTGTACATTAGGACTGGCATGACCCAACCGTTAATGGCCCTGACTTTGTTGACGCCTGACAGGTAGCTTTCAAGCACCTTAGTCAGGCGTCCCAAAAAGGCCTCCTTAACGGATTGTTTCACGCCCGCCATATGCACACCCAGATTCTGTGACATACCCAGATACCGGTATGTATCAGTTTCGGAGAGGGTACGGATGGTGGATCCATCCGGTAGGTCCACTTGGGTG